CAGCCGCCCGCAGCGCTCGGGGCTCTGGGTCCCGTCGCGTCGCGTCGCCAGGCCCCGGCCCAGGCGGGTCTCCGCGCTCGGCCGCACGGCGCAGGCTCCGGGATGACGGCGTTGCGGGCCAGGGCGCCCACCTTAGGCGAGTTCTGTGCTGAGGGGCGCTGCCGCCCTCCCGGGGTGACTAGGAGCAGCCGGCGCGAAGGTGTCCCGGGCCCGGCCCGACGGAGGTCTCGGGACACAGCAGGGGTTCGGAAGGCTACGTGTGAGACGTGCTGGGTGCCACAGGGCCGGGCCGGGCCGGGCCGGGCCGGGGGGAGGCAGCGGGTGGCGGCGGAGCTGGCCGGTGGAGAGATGTGCCCCGCGCCGGGACGCCCTTGGGTGTTCGCGACCCGAAGCTGTGTGGAGGCCTGCTTAGGGCCCGGCGCGTCAGGGAGCCGGGCGTTTTGGGAGATGCCCGAGGCTGCCCGCGTCTTCCAGGTTTGCCTTTTTCTACCCTCCGCCTGCAGACTGCAACTTGGTAGTCCAGGCTTCCCTGGACTTTCTCCATGGAGGGAGCCAGTGGACAGCAGGCTCCGAGGGCTCTCGGGTGGGGTGGAGGGTGGCCTGTCGCGCGTGCGCCCTCAAGAGCTTGAGGAACCGTCCCGGAGCGTCCGAGCCTGTGCTGGTGTGTGCAGGCCACATCTTTTATCAGAAGAATGGCCGGGTCTGCAGCTGCGGGAGCTGTGCTGTTTTAAAGCTCTGCGCGTGTGTCAGGGACATAGCTTAGCGGCGCAGCGCCTGACGCTCAGGTCCTGGGTTTGGTTCCCGGGACCCACCAAAACAACAATGTGTGTAGGGTTTATTCACTGTACAGGTTCTTTTTTAGCTGCTGGTTTGGGTCGGACAGCTAGGTGGTGGGGGCACAGGGTCGAATTAAAAGTCCCTGCTCCAGCTGAGATGAGTTGCAGGGGAGCCAGGTGGATAACAGCCTGTATGCCAAGTTCTGATACAGAAGTGGCCCCAGGTGCCTGTGCAGAGGGGGAGAGCCTGCACACCTGCTGGGAGGGGGCGGCCCTTTGTATCCTGGCAAGGGGTGGGGAACGCTGTTTTGTTCTTGAGCAAAAAAGCGCTGTCTTTCCTTCAATTTAGCCTAACAGAAAGAAAGATTTCTCACATAGGGCAGGTGCCTTAGTAGCTCGCTGGTGTAGCAGGCCAGTGTTTCAGCATTTGGTTATGTAAATTGTCACAAAAAACAGGAGGCAAAGTGAGTTATTATGTATGAGGTAGAGCCCTTAAAATACAATTATTATTATTTTTTGCTCCGAATGCCTTCAGGGCAGGTTTGGCTGGCTTGAGTTGTGGGGATCGAACCACAGCAACCTGAGCCTGCCTGCTTTGTGGAAGCAGCCACTTAAAGAACTGAGCTAAGGGGCAGGCCCCCAAAATACAATTTTTATTTTGTTTTATTTATTGGCGCTGGGGATTAAACCCAGGCATATAAAGTGTGGGCTTTGTTACTGAATTACAGCCCCAGGGGGTGAGCTATCCACCATTTTGATTGTCTTTATATCTGACAACCTAGACTCATAAGTCTTAGATAGTAACTGGGAATTTCCTTTCCCCAGAACTGAGTGGTGTTTTTATTTGCATTGGAAGGCTGGGGTTCCCCATCCCAGCGGTCAGCCCCATGCGCGTTGCTGCTGCTGCTGCTGTGGGGTACTAAGATGGGACTCACACAGTTGCAGTCCGCCCTATATTCTGGTGACCGGGCTCTTACAGTGCCGAGTGGAGACCTCGGGAAAGGAGCGCCTGGAGAACTGGTGCTGGGGTGTCCCCTTGAGCCCGAAGGCCTCGTGGCGAAGCCTGGCCCAAGCAGCACTCTGGACCCCACTCTGCCCTCCCTTCTGCAGGCTACCAGGTGACAGGGGTATTCATGAAGAACTGGGACTCACTGGACGAGCACGGCGTGTGTACCGCCGACAGAGACTGCGAGGACGCCTACAGGGTGTGCCGCGTCTTGGATATCCCCTTCCACCAGGTGTCCTACGTTAAGGAGTACTGGAACGACGTGTTCAGGTGAGCGTGCGTCGGACCTCTGCCCACGGAGGGAGGGCTACAGTCAGCCAGCGCTCACGGATGCGCTGCCAGGGCGCCCTCGGCCACACAGGGGCCCTGTGGCAGTCCTCCTACCTCAGCCTTTCAGAGTGCCAGAGTTACAGGTGTGTGCCACCACACCCCACTCAGATACTGTTAACTAGTTAGCTCTGGTACTGGGATCAAGCTATAAGCCTACCCTAGAACATTTTTATTTGGTGGCAGAATCTTGCTAAGCTGCCCAGGCTCTGCTCTAACTTGGATCCCCTTGCCTCAGCCTCCTCTGGGATCGCAGGGACTCACTTCTGTGTCCAGCTAAGTGTTGTGTTTAGTTGCCCTCCCTCCTTCCTCACTCTACGCAGGAGCAGCCTCTCCTTTCTAGTGGAAGAGCAGGCAGGCTACTTCTGTTGCTTTTCTGGTGCCGCCTGACATGGCATTCCTGTCTGCCACGAGCTGTGTTCCTATCAACTGGCTGCCTCTTCAGTGTTTATGCTCCTGTAGAGAGTTTATTGGGTCTGTGAGTGCTTGACAGATGTAGAAGAGAGAGTGGATGTTAGGTGGTTTGCAACTTAACTGAAAGGAGAGGGCGAGTGGGACAGGCATGTCGGACTAGCGCTGTGGGAACTCATTGCTAAACTCCAGGGGCAGGCACAGCACAGCCTTGGGACTGTGGGGTTCCGCCCCGCCCTGCTGAGGGGGCTTTGCCCTTCTCCACGCCCAGGCCATCTGTTAGGACAGAAGTCCACTGAGTCGGGATGGCCAGCCACACGGTCCTCAGAAGTGCTGTCAGTCACATCAGAAGAGCTTTCTCAGTGTGTTGGCCTGTTGGCCGGGGTCCGCAGGCACTGAGAAGGCCTCCTGGAGCCTGGACAGCTTCCTGGCTGTTGTGCTAGGGTGAGCTCTGTCCTCCCCTGACCCCCGGTGCCAGAACAGTGTGGTGGGACCCCAGGGCGGGGGTGGATGGGGCCCAAGTCCCGTGGTGGCGGGGCAGCGCCTGTTTCTTGTGTGTGCCCAGGTTTGTGGCTATCAGAGTCAGGTGGTGCGTGCAGCAGGTCTAGGCTCGTGTTTGGTGAACACGAAGACAGCGTGTAAGAGGAGCCCTCCTGTGGTGCAGAAGATTATAGTTAAGTGTGACAGGGAGAAAGGCTGTATTAAACAAGAAACAGCTTATTTTGGGGAATGCTTCATACTTAGGACTGAAGAGGCCTTCTCTTCTATTGCAGCGATTTTCTGAATGAGTATGAGAAAGGCAGGACCCCCAACCCTGACATAGTCTGCAATAAGCACATCAAGTTCAGCTGCTTCCTTCATTACGCCGTGGACAACCTTGGTAAGGAAGTGGGGTTTCTCCATTCGCTTTTAAAAATCATTGATTTCGCGCCGCGGTTTACAGTGCAGTTATGGCCAAGTCCAAGAACCACACCACGCACAACCAGTCCCAAAAATGGCACAGAAATGGCACCAAGAAACCTCGGTCACAAAGATACGAATCTCTGAAGGGGGTGGATCCCAAGTTCCTTAGAAACATG